CATGTGCTGCATAGGTGGGAATTGCGGTGCTCCTTGTGCAAAGCCACTGCCTAGTCCTCGTCCCTCCAAGCCCCCTTGTCCTATATCTCAACGCTTATTAGCATGACACTTCTTCACAATTCGGCATTGCTGCTGTCGATATTACATCAAATTGCATTCATAGCAACTCATAATTTGGTCCGAAAGGTCATCTCTTGGGTTAAAAGGTACAACTGGAGGATAATTCCTTTGGTAAACACTCACAGAGGATGGTTCATCTTCATTCACGTCTCTCAATAGCTAGGCAGCACGTGCAATGACCTCCATCTGGTAGACAGCTCAAAAAGTCTTACGCAAGTGAGGGGGGGGGGTGCTATTAAGCACTAACATTTTCAAGCGTATTTCTATCGCTGCTGCCGCATGAACTATGATTTCATCCCACGATGTTCCTCGGTATTCCTCCTTGATAATACGGATGGACCACCTTGTATCACCAGCCTATACACCGCATCATCGTGCGCCTCGCTCATATTCACAAAGCGAGCTGTCATGTCTTGATAGCTGGTATGTTCCACATCCATGCCACAAGCTAGTCGTACGGCTGCTACACACAGCCGTGCTTACGTGTCATGGATTTGGTAGCCATACTCCTGCAAATGCTACATGATGCACAGTAATTAGTGAAGTGGGATCCACCTGTGCCGCGCGACCAGACCATTTCGTAGTGGCCATGCGACTTTTTAGGGTAGTAACCCCTTTGAACCATTCTTTAGCGACCAAGGCTTCAACACTGTAATTGGTAAACTCTTCAAAATATAGAAGTCGCAGGTGCTTGTCCTTAATCAAAATTTCACATACGGATTTGGCCACGCTACTCGGTATTCGGACTTAATTGGCGATTTATCAATGATACATATGATTTCTTTCCGGTTTGTAAACTTTTCATTGCATCCATTTCATCAATACTCGGAAACCTTACTTAATTTTCCCCGGAACCTTATTTATACTGTAAATTCCCCATTTCCCGCGGATACCTCTTGTTTATAATATATACTTGCTTCGTTGCGAGTGTCGTTGATTTATGTGAACAATAAACTTATCGCGATTTTTTTCTCCATGCATCATACCAAGTGTGCGTCTTCAAGCTTGATTGTTTACGTGTCACAGCACAAATCTATATATAACTATTTAGACAACAAACTACAAACGTATAAGAAGAGAATATCGGTATGAGTCAACATCGTAGTTGGCAGTCTTAAGCAGCTAGGTTGAGGTCAGCCTCCATAATATAACCCTATTTCACAAAGTAAGCTATACCAAGTTGGTTTGAGGACACAATGAGTTTGCGATGTTACAATACAATTAAGGTCGGTATGGTTAGTATTTTGCAATTCCATAGCTTGAAAAAAAAAAGACATATTAGGAAAAAACAGCTATTTCATGACGAATATAGACGCGATATAACTTTATTTGGGACAAAATATATGTATGCGGCCCTATTCAAAGTAGGTAATGTGTTAAAGTCGAAATGAATCTACCATGGAAGTCAGCTAAAAAAAGAAATGTATATATTCGCACTTTATTTTATATATATGACCCCCTTCACATTTCTACACTAAATATCAATGACGTGCTGTGATATTCCCCTGTCATCCAGTTGTTTATTATTCTATGAAGCAACTCTACTTTTCCAGAATTCCGGAGTTTTATGTTTGCAAGACTTATTTAAAAACAACAATCAAAAGTAAATGCTCCAAAATTTGATTTCGGTCTTTCTACACGGAAGATCGTAATCCTGAGTTCAACAAGCCGATAAAAATTACATGTGGCGTTGACATATAGACTGTCCAGTGGACTCGGGAACTAGAGTAATGATTGGCGCTTTGCCGATCATTATACCTTTTATCACATCATTGTCCCCGAGAACACTAAGCAGTCTACGAGTATATACCAATGTTATATAGTTTTGATTCGCGCATTACCGAGCATTCTACCTTCGGTATAGTGTCAACCACTATATTTGATTCCGAACACACTAGGAAGTCTATGACTATATACCAATGCCATACAGTTATGATTGGCGCTTTACCGATCATTATACTTTCGGTAGAGTGTCAATCACTATCGTTGTTCCCGAGCACACTAGGAAGTCTATGACTATATACCAATGCCATACAGTTGTGATTGGCGCTTTACCGATCATTATACTTTCGGTAGAGTGCCAATCACTATCGTTGTTTCCGAGCACACTATGCAGTCTACGACTATATACTAATGCCATACAGTTATGATTGGCGCTTTACCGAGCACTCTACTTTCGGAAGAGTGCCAATCACTATCATTATTCCCAAGCACACTATGCAGTCTACGACTATATACCGCCATATACTTTTATTGGCTTTTTCTATTCCAAACCTGCCGCCTTAGTATCCGGGGTATACAGCATACTGTGGTTTAGCCTATCCCTAGACATGCACCAAAACTCCACGGGCACTGAAGGTCGGTGTCAAACTTCAACGATCACTTGCATCCGTATCAATCATCTAAGACTACCACGGACGTATGGAAAGCTCCCTTGTTTTCGTGATTTCAAGAACAAAGTCACTAAATGTACATTAAAATGAAGAAAGTCACTAAATGTACATTCACTCAACTTACCGACGAAAACGTACTGAAATATCGATCAAATATGTACAAATATACATTTAGCGACAATTTCACTTTTATAATGTATATTTTCTGACTTTTCGTGCAAAATTCGCATAAATATAAAGTAATGAGCCTTCGGCTATAACCAATTTTTTTAAACAAAATATATGTGCTGAGGACACAGGGGGATGCTGCGTTAATTATCTGGCATCGATATATGCTGCCTCATTCAAGCTTATCTCACTGTCTGGTTCACACCCTGAAACTCTTATAATACAACACTGATCCCGATTGCGAAACAAGAAGTCACTTCCGGCAATGATAAAAATTATGATAGGTAAGCTGGACCAGAAAAACGTGCTGATCGCTATTCGGAAACTGCACTGTACCAAATTGGGTTTCATGTACTGTCTCCGGGCATTGAGGAATAAACATCTATGTCGAAGCGGTTAAAACAGCTCCAGTACTTTTCATGGCCGCGCGAAGAAGAATACAAGGAGCGCAAACTGACGAAACTCGATTAGAAGAAGCGTGGACTGCCGGTAAAGCGAGACGCTATTGGATATATTTTTACATTAAGCAGGTAGTCTATGATAACAATGATAGGAAGAATTTCAGCGTGCAAACCAAGGACGTGCGTATCAAAGCTTATATGACAATGACATTGCCGCAGAAGGCAACCCTCTATGGCAGGACACATCTCTCAATATCACGCCGATTAAGAGGTCCAAACCGATTTGAAGAAGCGTGGACTACCGGTGAAGCGAGACGCCAATGGAGATCTTTTGTACACTAGGGAGATAGTCTATGATAACAATGATAAGAAGAATTTCAGCGTGCAAACCAAACCAAGGACGTGCTAATCAAAGCTTATATGATAATGATTTTGCCACAGAAGGCAACCCTCTATGGCAGGACACACCTCTCAATATCACGCCGATTAAGAGGTCCAAACCGATTCGAAGAAGCGTGTACTACCGGTGAGACTACGAAGGAAGGTTTGGACTCGCAAAAGACGCAAGCCTGGTGGCGCAATATGTTTTACACTATTGGCTTCTTAATTATCGATGCATGCATGGAAACTCTCTACCATCTCCAGCTTCGAGCCCCAAGGTAAATATAGCTGTGTGCAGTAAACACGGGCTTCTTCTATCTTCAGTCCTAGTACTTGATGGAGATGTGCTGCTTGCAAGTCATTTAGAAGCAGACAACGTTTCCTTAATTGCTCAACGTCACCTCCAAGCGGTGCACCCACTGTGGTCAATACTTCTTAACACTTTTCCAGTGTCCATTTACCACTGCTTTCCTGAGTGTAGTTACTATCGTCGCTGCGCATTTCCGATTCAGTAACAAAGACATAATATTACATGAAATGTTATATAGCGTATTGAACATAGATCGAGCAATTGTGTTCATCCTATCCGACAGACAGTCTGTGCACGTAATACGTAGTGGAGATAGTGCACGACACAAAGTTATTCGTTTTAGCATAATATTTTTGATGGCACGAAGAACAACTCTACTGGAAGATGTTGATGCATTGAATTGCTTCAACATTGCCTTGTCACTGACGATACTATTAACAACAATAATTACCAAACCGCTCATTATAACCACAAGTGTTGTTGCCCACGCCAGGCCCTTCCGATCAAGATCAGCAATCAGCGTATTGGAATATTCGACTAGCATTTGTGCTTCATCTAGTCCCTTCCCTAGAACAACGCTATCGATGCACGAGTTGCATATTACATTGGAGTTATTCCGCCATTTGTAGGTTATATACACAGAAGTTTAGGTCCATAATTTCCCAAAAACTTCAATACCCGCCGTAGTCTCTTTATCTGTTGGTCCTCAAGTGCATCCGTCATTTCTTTTAAACTGTCGAAGAGCATACTATATTTAACTCGATTATGGCTATAATCAGAGTTCCTGCTCACATCAAACATAGCCCCGATTAAGAGTGTGCGTTGTGCATAAAGATATGCGGTGATATCCAGGTGTCTATTTCCACCAGCCATAGCTCGCGCCACAGAAAAACTCATTTCTATGGGGTCGTTGTTGAGTCTTCCTGGTAACACAAACAAGAATCCCAACTCTTCGAGGAGATAACGTATGCAGCTAGCCAGTGATCTTAGTGTATGAGATAAAGTGAAGAAAGTCTCCTGTGACAAGCCCCCTTTTAGTGGTTTCCTGCCCCTGTTTTCCGTTCGTGTACCTTATTGTCCGCCGGTTATGTTGTGAGGCGTCTCATTATTTGCTGCGTTTGTATTAGAATGCGGAGTTGCGCCACCTTGATCAGCACAATCATTAGTCCCATTGTTACTGTTTACATGTGAAGTTGCAAGATTGTTGGATACACTAGTTGAATTACTTTATGGGGTGGCAAAGGTGATACTCTGCTGTGAAATATATGGTGTGTTTGATACCTGCGGTTCAACACTTCCAGGATCTTCCCCAAGCATATTGCCAAGTATTATGGTCATATTTTCTATGCCAGGATCATCGCCTTCGTCGTCATCCTCGTCGTCAGAGTTGTCATCTATTATTATCATGTCCGGATTATCATTTGCAATGCTGGCATACCTACTAGATTGCAACTACTCCGCTATTTCTTCGGAACTGTTTTCCAACCTGTGCAGCGCTCAATAGTCCAGTTGGCTTGAAGAAGCGGAAGCATGCTTTTATCCACTTGTGATGCATCAGGTTGTCCACTTCCACTTTTCTTCTGGCTAATTGCTGGCCTTATTAGAGCGCGGCTTCGGGAGGTCTTTCAGGGGTAGAATACGAAAGAAGGACACCTTATTGCCATTATGGACAGCACCCGTTCGACGGCTACATGTAGCCACATCACAAAAAACTATCTCGATAAGTTGTGCACAAATAGACGATTATAAGCTATTTATTTGTATATTAGTATGTTTTTGATATAATCAGCCCTATAGATAGACTGGGTTCCAGGGGTTTATAATTTTGTTAAGCCCCCAATTTGCGTCATACTCCGACAGCATGTCCGGCTTGTTCAATTTAGTAGGCTATGAGCTCTTGTAGTGCTATTTCGAGAATCGAATTTAGAGTGCGCCAGATGGGTTCGTATACCAGTTTATTTTGAATCTTTTTACAGAAACTCAGGTCGTGCTTTGTTGTGGCTGTAGAATTTATATGCTTGAATCTCAAACCCTTTTCTTGATCTCCAAGGAGATGTACATGTATGCCAGACTTGGGGGCAACCATACTAGCCGATAACATATAGTAATACTGCTCATCGTATAAGAATAACCTGAATTTTTGTACTCGTACATAAGCATACTAAAATATTTCGATAAAATTTATTTATACCAACTAAACTTCACATCGTGTTTCATTGTCTTTTGTGATGAGCTGTACGATTGAGCCAGACTCGGGTCTATCCGCAGCAGCCGTCGACCATTCGTGTAGCAGCTCACATACAAACTCCAGTGACGTCCATGTGGTGAAGTCGGCGTCTGCCATGAACTTACGATTCATGGGAGTGTCCAAGGTCACGCTGCACAGGACAAATTGTATGGAGTGTTAAAACTCACATATACAGAATAGAGAATACACACTATGTACGTTAATGAAGGCAATGGGCACCGGTCTGAGATACAAAAGCACGGAAATCGCAACTTATTGATACTCTAAACACTCGTTTACTACAAGTACGTTCGCCAATATAATCAAGTATCTTGAAGTATGTAGCACCTCAAAGCTCTCAACAGTGTGGCCTACAGGTATACTATTGTTGGCAGCTGAAGAAGCACATTCACATCTTATGGTATTCGACACATGCGGTTTTCGTCCTAGTCATTGACATTATATCACAAAGCGACAACGATGTAAACAACAACATCATACAAATCGAGAGAACAAAGTGATCAGATAAAATAGTACACACTCTGAGTATGATGTAAACAACACACATATCCATAAATACTGAAGCAACTTTACCATCGTAACTTAGGGTCACATATCCAACCAAGTTAAAGATTCAGTTGGTCGTTGTATATACAACTATTTGTGACACATCCACGAGCGAAGTTAAAATTCGTAGAAGATACTTACGGAGCAATGGCCAGAGTGGTGGTGTTCTCAGGTAGTCCGTTGTTCGCAGCCGCCATAGACTGAGTCAGCTGATGAACTGCGGCCTTTGTAGCTCCATAGCCCATCATGAACGATGTACCTGTAGGTATACAGTAAACGTTTAGAACACACGGGCAAGCACAAGACAGTAAACCGACACAAATTAATTTGCTGTATATAAATGGGTATGGGTTGTGTTTCACCGGGCGGATGAAAGACAACGCGATACCGAACATCCAATAAAGGTTGATCGAAGTGAATCGGGTCATAGATGGGCACACACAGATATACGACATATAAATATCCCACATGGCGAAGGAACTAAATTTTGGTCATTTCCGGATTTGTTGAACAAGTGTACATTTTAAAAGGCTACTAGCTAACAAATAAAATTTATGATAAGAAAAAAAACAACAACAAAGAATGCACTTTCATTTCTAATAATTATCGCCAAAGACACCAAAGACCAGTTCCACCCATGACCACGACACAGGTAGTTGTATCTCAACACTGTGTAAGCATCATACCTCCAAGAGAAGCCTTTGCGCCAGTCAACACCACCAATCCATTGGGGGCCAAGAACTTAGCTGCCAGGCGGGCAGATATTAATGATGTGTAGAGACTCTGTTTGATCATAAGCTCAGCGTTCTTCAGCATGTCATCGTCGTTGGCGTTTCCTCCAGCCTACATATTGCAAAAGAAATACAGTACGAGTGAATACATTTGCATACGACACATCCGAGGTGCGGATATCTACACACGAATTCAGTGTGGGCAGCAATTCCTGCGCTAGAGATAACCTGATCGACACCCGATTGAATTGTTATAGAACATCAACCAAGTAGGTGACATGCGGAACAAACCTCTGACTAGCGGTACGTTATAAACACATTTTAACTTCTAAGCCATGCCCTCTGGTTCGCATGCATAGTATGTCGTTTGCGCATAGAGCTCAGCAAAATAATTACACATAACAACAGGAAATATACTAGTACTGCGAGCAATGACGAACTCGGAACGTGATTTTTGCTGACTATCAACAAAAGCTACAACAACCGACAATGGGTTCATATCGTCAACTTTAGAATCACTATTGATTGCCGTATACATGCACAGCAAGCTGTTTGACTCTGTATTACTAGGTGGCGTGTGTACTAGATAGACCAGATTCTGTACCGGTACAGGACAGAATAAAAAACAGGACAGGACATACAAAAGCTCGTACAACAAGCAAGCACATACCCATCCACCGGCAACGCAGTATATGGCACTCAGCTTCTCCTCACCCAGGACCTGACCGACCTTCTTCTCAATATCATATCCTTGCGGTTGCAGGTCCATAGAGGGATCGACCAACACATTGTCCTTGCAGTCTTCGTTGGGCATGATGTCGACAGATACCACTCGCTGTTTGATTGAACAAGTAATCAAATTGAATGAATATTTGATAAATATATATATTTCCTCATAAATGCTTCAACATTCTTAAATTAACGTCCAGCTTCCCAACTTTACGGCTCATATAGTATTATTAGGGTGTTATGTGACTTCTACACAGTGGGCATTCGTACAAGCAACAAGATGTGGTAGAGGAAAAGACCTCGAAACAGGGGCGTCGGCGTGTACTTGTCAATACTATTCGAGTATACTTACAGCAAATACTACGCTCTATGGTTACAACATACTACAGCGCAAATGTATGGCACAATCACATCCACGGGAAGAACTACAGGACATTTGATCAGATTAGTACAGACAAAATACAAACTCATATAACGATTAGATAGTTGAATGTAAAATGGTCCCCCCAAGGTATTAAACTGGTAGAGATAATTACACAGACCACATCCCGACCACGACAGCTAATTCTACTACGTATATATATATATATATATATATATATATATATATATATATAAATAACATACATATATAAATGCCTTATAAATGCTTCTATTGATAATAAACGCTTACACGTACATCCACGATATAGAATTGAAAGTGATATTGATAAATCATATAGACGCGTGCTCAAGCCTTGACGCGATGCACGAGTGGTAGCTCTGTCGGCTAAATCACGACTTCGAGATGGAACACAACCATACTCCTTGGACACCCATTTAAAAGCTGGAGACACAGAATCGAACTGACATCGCATACTTACACAAACTATGCACTAAACAGCCACCTCACACGTACATACATTGATATGTATTGACATTGCATACCATCTGTTGCTTCTGTAGGTAGGCCACAAGGGCTGATCCCAGAGCACCCTTTCCGCCGTATACCAGAACGTTGTTGTTACCAGAAGTCATCTTTGCTTTCGTATTGTTATGTAATGTATCTATCGAGTTTGATCAAAACTTCGCAAACGTTTGCCTTTCTATACTTAATTCTAGATACAAAACTTTCCCCTGCATGTATTACAAACAGAGCTGCATGCGTAAAGTTTGTGATTTTGAGGACATGTCACATACTTTACTGTGTTGAAACGTCAGTGAGCTCTATCGACACCATCATGCGTTGTACAGCCAATAGAAACACAGTAATCTCTCTATGGCTTTTTTGGACACGTCTGTGCTCAGAACTTAGTAGCCCCAATACGTTTCACATTGAAACGTATAAATTCTGAACATATATATACATAGCCTTCTACTAAAT